CAGTTGGAGTTATCAATGATTTTTTATTCAAATGTCCATTTTCATCCCCAGTTGGGGATAATTATTTTTTGTTTCTTATGTTTTTAGGTTTCACCTGAGATACTTTATCTTCCCTATGGATCCTCAGTTTCATCTCTGGATTGTATTCCTGAACTACTGAAAGTCATGATAATTAAAAATAAAGCTCTAAGTGTTTCCAAAAATTGAAAAAAAAAAAGACAAAAATGAATGCATGCAGTACTTTGGCTTTTTCCTGTTTCTGTTGTTCTTCATTTCACTTGATGGTTCCCCACTGTGATTTCTATATTTGAGCCATTACAGTTTTCATTTCAAGCATTTCTTTTAAAATACATAGCATTTTAATTAACTATGAGATTTTCATACATGCTTACAATATATTTTGGTCATATTTACTGGACTCCTTTCAACTGCTCCCAGATATATTCTCTAACCCGTGGCTTCCTCTCAACTTCATGTCTTGTTTTTTAATAACCCCAGGTCTTTGTGTTGTTTATATAGCTCTGCATGTGTGGGCATCTGTTGGGGCATGTGGGGCATAGTTAACTTACCAGTGGGCATACCTTAACAAAACCAGATTCTCCCTACTCCAGACACCATCCACTGTCAAGAGCTCCTCAGCTAGGTGTGAGGGCTTGTATGTCCCTCTCCACTTCGTGCTGAAATTCTCCCTAGGTTTATCTTTTTTTTTTTTTAACGAGCCAAAATTGTATTTATTTCTTGCATTTGAAGTATTCCTCGATGACATCCTTGGCCTGAGATTCTTTGCCATAGTCCTTAACCACTACACAACTGCAACCAACCACTTTCCGTGGCTTCCCTTCTCGATCGATTTTACAGAGGCCCACCCATTCCCCTAGTTTCTTGTTGTCGTCAACCTTTATCAGGTTGATTTGGTGCTCGGCACAAAGTGCCTCCACCAGCTTGACATACATGGGCTCATCACAGTTGGATGCAAGCACACAGAGATGGGCTTGGCGCTTGTCTAAGGCTTTGGCAGCTTCGCATATGCCACGTGCTAGGCCATCGTGGATGAGGGCGGTCTTCAGCACCTCTTGTAGAGCAGTGTTGACGTCCATTACACCTCCAGCAACTATGCCTTCCTCGGCCATGGCGGTGGATTACGAGTATCACCGAATCTTGAATGCACCCTGCCCTGCCCTGCCCTGCCCTGCCCCGCCCCGCCCCGCCCCGCCCCGCCCCGCCCCGCCCCGCCCGCAAGCCACTGCTTTTCACTTGTCTTTTCTGGGTTTTTACTTCTGGCTCTTGCAGTGTTTCTGTCTCCTGTTCCATGATGGCCTTGTTGAGCCTTAAAGGATGCCCCTTTTATGTCTGAGGATGCCACAGATTTACCCTCTGCATTTCCATAACTTGTGAGTTTCCATATTAACCATGATCCACTGCACAAAGAAGCTACTCTAATGAATTATGAGAAGAGTCCTAGTCTACGGTTACAGAGAAAGGAATTTGGAAGGTGGTTTGATACTGTGTCCATTTAAGAAAATAATAGTAGACTCACCTCTGGGCTGTGTGAGTCCCCTAGTCGTGAGTCTTTGGCTGGATGCACAGTATCAGACATAGATTTCCTCCTGTGGAGTGGCCTTAAATCCAATTAGAAAGTAGTTGGTTATGTCCATAGCATTCATACTGATACTGTACCCATGTGACTATCTTGCTGTCAGTCACTTTTGTAGCTCGTAGGCTTCATAACTTGATGAGGCTATTCCTAGCCTCTAAAGCTACTCAAATCTAAAGATTGAGTGCTAGGATTCACATAGGAGTTAGAAGATCCAGGCTTTTTCTTTCTGTGATTGGGTTACCGCACTCAATCTACTCTTTTTCACTTCCATCCTGCAAATTTCTCATTTCATTTTCTTTAAAACTGAATAAGATTTAATCATGTATAGATACTGTGCTGATTTGAATTGAAAATGTCCCCCATAGTCTCATGATTTGAACACTCAATCCCCAGTTGGTGGTGCTCTATGGAACTTTGAGAGATTGGAACCTTGCTGGAGGAAGTGTGGCATTGGCATCTTTGAGCTTATACTCTTGCTCTTCTTCATGCTCTCTCTCTCTCTCTCTCTCTCTCTCTCTCTCTCTCTCTCCCTCCCTCCCTCCCTCCCTCCCTCCCTCCTGTTTGAAACATGTGACTAGCATGTCATTTGCTCCTGTGGCTACGCCTTCCTGGCCTGTTGCCATGGCTTCTTTGCCTTGATAGGTTCTATCCTTTTGGAGCCCTTCCTCCCTTATGGTGTTTATGTCAGAGCTCTATCTCAGCAGCAGGGACATAACTGATGCTGGCTCAAAGTTTTCATTACCAACCATCAGTTGATAGACATCTAGGTTGCTTCCACATCTTTGCTATTTTGAGTAGAGCAGTGATGAACATGGATGAGCACCTAGCTCTGTAGTAGCAAGTAGGGTCCAGGTATTTTCCCAGAGATGGTGGGGCTGGCTTACATAGTAGATCTCTACCTAGATGTTTAGAAGCCAACACGCTGCTTTTCACAGAGGCTGTACCATTGGTGGATTCCATCAACAATGCAGGAGGCTCCCTTTCCTTAAATTCTCAATAACATCTGCTATTTGTTTTCTTAATCTTAGCTATTCCAATGTGGATGGGATGCATTTTCAAGTTCTCTATTCACTTTTTGGCTAAATATCACTTTCCTTACTGAGTTTCTCTCTCATGGTATCAAGTTTCCAATCCATGGTGATGGGTCCTGTCTATGTTTCTCCTCTCCTTTCTGGGTCCTGAATTGATTTTCTTGCCTCACTAATCTGATTGTTTGCATCCACTTTGCAGTCACTGATAGCATTTATAAATTCTGAGTCTGTCATCCAGGGTTTCATCCATTCCAGTGTCTTTGCCCTTTTCTAATTATGAATTTTTAGAAGGATAAAATTTTCTTGATTTTTTTCATGATTTGGGTCCTTTCTGTGTTATGGTTTATGCATCTTTTGGGATAGATATCTTTTCTGGTTTTGTGAGTCTCTTAGTGAGCAGTTTTACTTGGGGACCTAATATCCAGCACTATTTACCATGAACATAATAAGTTGTCATAGAAGCAATAACACTAAAAAAAAAATGGATATAGAAGTATATTTAAAACTAACTATAACCAATTGTTAAACCACCAACAGAAAAGCGAATGGCAAAACTAATGAAGTGCTTTATTCTGTTGAACTTGTACTGTGCCTAATGTAGTCAAGGATCAAAGGTTTAATCATTTTCTTTGTGTACCTGGAGCTGCTTCTGAGCATGGTTAGCTTTGCAGCCTGTGGGCCAGGCAGGTTCCCACTCAGCTTTCTTAGCTTGTACATCTTTGGATTGATAACAATTAAGTCAAAGGGCATCTCCTGAACATATTGAGGTGTGGGAGAGGCTGATGGAGCACTGAGGTCTGTTGCTGAAGGACCCATACCAGTGCTTCACAATCTTGCTAAGTATTAACCGTGCTACAGGACAAGGGAGTGTGCAGTGGTGTCTAATGGGCCTGAGAAGTTCATGATAAAGAAGAAGCTATGCAGCTCCAGAACCTTGCTGACTTCTGTCTTGGGGCTATCAATCTCCATGGAATTACCTATTTCTGACAATAATAATAATAATAATAATAATAATAATAATAATAATAGGGCCACCAGCCTTCGTAGTCTGAGCCTCCTGCTACCTGAGCTTTCTAATCATTTCCATATAAAGTTTTCATCAGATCTGTTCTTGTTTCACAAAGTCACCCCAATGTTTGCAGGCCTCCTTACCAGCTCAGTCTTAAGCAATATGCTCCCTGACATGATTTGGGAATAGCCCCGAGTGTAGAGAGTGCCACAGTGGACTTTTCCAGAGCTGAGTTGTGGCACATACAGTTATGTCATGCCAAATCCCTGGAAGGATGTGGAACTTGTGAGAACTGAAAACTTACTCTCTGTGTAGAATTGACTCTTTTCATACATAGATGAAGAGACACGTGTGTGTGTGTGTGTGTGTGTGTGTGTGTGTGTGTGTAGGGTGTGTGTGTCCATGTCTCCCTCATGTGATACAGTGTGTTTGTGAAGTTGTGGTTCTCTCCAGCGTGGGACTTAAGTATGAAATACAGGTAGTCAGGCTTGGCAGCAAGCATCTTTACCTAGGGAGCCATCTCACCAGCCCTCTGGTTGGCTGTCTTACATTGTAGAAGAGTCTTTGGCTTGCTTTCTCCCACTGGGGAGCCTGGTAGATTGGCTCCTCATTTTTCATTGCTCAGCCTTTGGGTTTCTCCAGGCTTTTCAGCTGTCTCTGGATTCTTTTGTGCTTTCTCATGCCCCTCTCAGTTTTCTCTCTTTGTATAAGGTCCCTTTTACATCTAACTTTTCACAATCCCAGCATTACATGGAGACTGCTTCTAATCTTCCTTCTTCGTATACAGTTCACACAGTCCCAGAAAAGATACTCTTGAGAAATAATAATTTCATCACAGTAAGGCAGGTCAGTGTAGGCAATATCTTTTGCCACATATGTAGCTTCTAATCAACATAGGTATAGATAATGCCTATTCTCTCTAAGAAATATGAAGAAGGGCATTGCACTAAACTATAAAGTACTTCTGTATGTTACCACAGTTAAATTCCTGTATATAGGAAATGTAGTTAAATTTATGTATGTAGGAACCATTACTTCACCATTCTGAGCAAGGGGATGAATGTTTCTGACCTCAAATTTGGGTAATACACATGGAGTGGCCTGCTGCACTAACAGATTTCTTTACCTTTAATCCTTAGCATCTATCGACAGGAACTTTTCTGCAATGTCTTCATATAATACAGATATGATAGGCTTAGAAGTTGATCCTTCATTAGACATGAAACTTGGAACAACAACAACAAAACCTTCAACTGTGCTCTTGAATGTCACCAAAAGGCATGCCAGCCAAGTTTCTCCAGCTCTTTGTCCCATCTCCTGGTGTTGCTTGGATATAGTTTATCAACATACTTAGTTTCTGCCACTACTGTATGACTAGAGAACACTGCAACAACACTGCCTTGGATACAGATGCTAGCTTTTAAAAACAAGGAACCACATTACAAGGTAAGTTGTGTTTAAGTAAATCTGTCCTTTGGTTTTAGATCTCAGTTAACTTGTAGGTTGTTTTTGTCATGTATTCTATGGGTATTTAAACTAAACTTTATCCTGTGTAGACCCCTTGGATGAGTAAGATGGATTTCTTCAGCAACAGCCCAAGAAAAAGCATATGTGAGCCGCATGCTCACGTGCTACAAGAAACATCATCAGTTATTTTCTCTCTCACTCTTTGAAGAAGGGAGGAATCCTAGCTTTGAAAAACAGTTATTATTTGCTCCACAAACCTGAAAAATGGGAGGAGGGATATTGAAATGATTTGAGTGAAGGAAAGAGTATATGTTTCAATCAGAGAGAACATGCAGAGAGTATGTCTTGATTGGTATGGATCCCTGGGTACCCACTAAAGAAAAGCAGTATTAAATAAAATATTCATAGTTTCATTTATGAGCTTATATCATGGAAACAGAACACAAAGAGGTGTTGGCAGATGTTTCTACAATAAATTTCAGGTGCAGAAGATCCCCAGGGTTAGGTCTCATATCTGAGCCAATCAGAATCCTCAAATGTTTTGTTGTTGTTTTGTCTGTTTTTGTTTGTTTTTTAGACAGGGTCTCTTTATACTGTCCTGGAACTCTCTATGTAGACCAGGCTGGTCTCGAAATCACAGAGATCTACCTGCCTCTGTCTCTCCAAGGGCTGGGATTAAAAGCATGTGTCACCATGTCCAGCTATTGAAATATTTTTAAGAATGTATATGTGATGCACCTGTGTGTGTGCACGTGTGCATGCATGAGCATTTGCTGGGGGAATATAGAATGAGAAGAAGCAGGCACAAACTGAGAGTTCTATACTCATGATCTCAGTGAATTAAACAAACCATGAATCAGGCATTATGCCTACCATTATGAAGATGACAGGAGGGAGGCTAAGAAGGGAAGAAAGCCAGGTCTGTTGGTTCTAAAGCCACATAGCCACTTCTAGGTTCTCTTCTCTAGTTAGCCCGTGACCTAGGCATTGGTAATAGTCTGCTATATTTGGAGAGTTTGTTGCTACACTTGATTGGTTGTGTTCTTTCTGTCATTTGTAGCTTGTACTATTGGGACAGGCAGAGGAGTAGGCAGAGAGGGAAGTAATTGGTTTCTATTTGCCTCTGCAAGCCTTACTAATGCACCCACTCTTCTCAGTGTGTTAGGTTTTCCTCATTGGAGAAACCTCAGATTCTAGACCCTAAGGCACTGAGAAAGGAGATGACATCACTGCAGGGAAGCCTATTGTTCCTACCATATTCAGGCAGGGACTAAAACATGACTGAGCCCAACGGTTTATTTTGTAGCACAAAGCAGTGTGTTAAAATGAAAGATCTAAATGTACAAGAAATGGACACACTTGTGTCTTCTGGTAGTTGGATTTTAGGAAATATTTAATGGTCTAGGAAGGTTCATGAGATATCTCTATTATTATTACTTTTTCCTAAAATCAAGTAAAATACCAGCTAAATCAATAAATGAAAACTAATCAAATGCCAACAAAATTTAAGGATGGATAAACTTTTTTAAGAGTTATTTATTTATTTATTTATTTATGTATATGAGTGTTCTATTTGCACATCTGCCTGCATGACAGGAAAGGGCATCTGACCTCATTATAGTGAGCAACTATGAGGTTGTGGGGAATTGAACTCAAGATCTCTGCAAGAGCAGCCAGTGCTGTTAACCACTGGACAATCTCTCCAGCCCTGGATAATCTTATTTTCTTCTCTAATTTGAAATTTTTAAACTCCTAAAGACATAGGCATTTCTTTTACACTCAGATAACAGCACTATTTAAAACTATAAAAAGCTGACTTCTGTAGACTGGACTGTCTCTACAAGCTACCACACTGGGCACAGCGAAGCAGGAAGGCAAGGCCTCTGGACGATTCCTTTTGCCACAGGGAGGGAGGACAGGAGAAGATGGGGAAGTAGGAGATTGCAGAGATTACTTATTGGAAATGAAAATATTTTTCTTTGGAAAAAAATTACTAATCTGCTTATTAAATGTCTTAGGTCCATCTCCAAAGCTGGTTAAACAGAATAAAAACTGATGCTGTGTTTGTTATCTCTTGGAGGTACAAGATAAAGAAAAATGCGGAGAGACTTGAAAAAGCAGTACAAACACCAGAATGTTCCACGAATACCCCGAATTCAAGTCCCTGCAGTGGCTGCTGACAATTCATTACTGAAGGTGTGACATCTTGCTCATAGAGGGAAGGGCTTGGCTTCTCTTTTTTCTTCGGAGGGTTGGGGACTTTGTGTACTGTCTGTGTGAGACATAGATGTTGTTTGACCCGCATACATGACTGTTGAAGGAGTCAGTTAATGAGCGCTGGCAGAGCCTCACTCTACACACCCTCTATGGTCAGTGTCTGAGAAACTGTCGTCTTCTTACATGCAGACCCATCACCATGGGACTCACAATATCAACAGCATGGCTTCCTACTTGATCTGTCAGCATCTTTCCCACCTAGCTAATTATAACCTTTCACTTAAAACTTCTCTGTAAAAAAATCATTTGTCTCGCATCTCTCTTGAGAAAGATAGAGGACAATGAAAGAACATGCGGAATGTAACCGGATACTTTTCGGGATATTTAAAGTTTTACACAGGTAAGGAAGTAGGCAGAGTTTTTCTGGATAAATAGAAACTATAACTTTCAAATTTTTTATTTGATGCAAGGGAAATTCTCATAGTACCAGAGAGCTTTGCTCTTGAGGTGGGCTAGCAATTTTCATATTGTCTTGTCTCTGCAATCATGTGAAAGGCTTAGTTAGTTATTCAGGAATGAAAGCCATTCTCTTCCTCCAATATACTATACTACAGAAACTTAGAGAGAATTGATGTCTTGAATTGTGAGGCTCTTGACTTACTCTGTGTTTACTTTTAATATAAAATTTAAGGGCTTTAGACCAAACAAAAATCGTCTCACAGACTTAGGATTTTAGCCCCCCACAAGGTGTCTAACCAGTAAACGTCACCTTAATCTATACTTATATGTAACAGTCTAAGTGCAGATATCCCACGTGGTTTTCAGTTGGCTTTGAAATTTCTGTTGTTTTGGTACTTCGTATCCAAGACAAAGGTATTTTAACTTGATATTTCTAGGATGTTGATGTCGTTATCATAGTCTCTCCCCATTTATTTTTGAGACAGGGTTTCATGCAGCCCAGGCCAGCCTTTGTCTTACAATGTAGTTGAGGATGACTTTGAACCTCCCCCTCCCCAGACCTCTCTTTGAAGGAAGATCTCCTCCTGCTGGCATGGAACTCACTGGCAAACTAGGCAGGCCTTGAACTTGAAGTGTCCCTGTGACCTCTGCCTCCTAAGTGTCACCACTCCTGATTCCTCTGTTTCCATAGCACATTCCACTGCCAAGGTGGATCTCATTGCCCATTTGAGCCTTTATCTATATTCCTTACTGGAACTTTCCACTGAACAGCTCAGCTGTCTGGAAGCCTCCATACTTCAGGCCCTGTATACATTCCCATAACCTAAGTTTCTCAATTACGAACCAATAAAATCTTCATATCCTAGCAGCCTTTACATCTCCCTCAGCATAAAATCATGACCTGCATAACCCAGTACCATTTCCTTCACTGTTTTCAGAATCATCATACAAGAAGAATATTGTTTACATAAATGGTGAGAAGAAATTTCCTGATTATTCGGGTCCCATGTACTGTAAAAATAGGTGTCACCTTAAGAGAAGCATCTTATTCCTGTGGCCACTCATTTTGAATGTATCGCACACTTTTAATTACGTAGGAATTTATCAAAGTCACCTCTTGGTTCTGACAGGACCTAAATCAAGGGCAGCGGTGCTACTTGTACAGCATCATGAGGATTTATGACTCCAGGCCCCAGTGGAAGGCCCTGCAGACCCGCTACATTCACAGCCTTGGGTACCAACAGCATCTGGGTGAGTTTAACTACTTTCCTAGAACTAGGAATATTAGTAAGTGTCTTATTCATTACAGCCAGAAGTCACATCTCCAGATAAATAATTCTAGAAGAATGGCCTCTGCTGACCTATTTTATCAACATGGTTGGCTAACCAAGTTTAAAAATGTTTATCCCTGACAATAGACAGTGAAGTTTTATAGGTGAATTAAGAGGGTTTAAAGAAATTAGAGTATTGATTCTTATAAAATGTTAACAACTCTCTGAGATTTATATGAACTTGATCTAGTAGATCAATATCCCTGGACTTGGAAAACCAACATAAGCTCAGACAATGGCTCCCCTCCTTACTGTTTGTGTAAGATCAAAGATAGTTTACTCCCAACAATAAAGACTACATCGTTTGAGCATTTGGCATAGTCCATACATCCAGCCAAGAATGTTATCTACAATATCTCACTGTCTTCCCACTTTATAGTTATGGAACAGAATCACAGGCAAATCATGTAATTTGGTGAAGACTGTTCAGCCAGTCATTGTCAATCAGGACTTCAGGCAAGAGGTGGCTTCTCCAAAGATCATGGCTTCTATCTGCTCATGCTTTGGTCTTTTTACTTTTCTACTAAATCCACTCATATCTTACAAAGCACAGATGGTACTGCGGTTTCACAAGACATGAAGAGATCATGAGCATCAGCTTGCTAGAAGCCCTCATGGCTAAGTCCTTTATCTTACAGTAACGACTCTAGTTACTCGCCTTCCACCACACAATTCTCCCAACTCGGGTAGAAAACTGAAAGCTACAAGAGTTAAATAACTTGACGAGGGTCACACAACTAGTAAGCAAGGACCTGGGATTTGTTGATTACTGAAGATTATCTGAAGGGTGATGGAAGCACCAGCTTGTGGCTCTGTTTTCAGAGCCCAATACCAAAGAAGCCAATAAGCTTAAATGCAGGTACACTTACTAGTGTTCATAAAGGCAAGTGCCATCTTACTAAAATGCAAATTCCCAGGCCTTGCTCTCTGAGTTTCTAATTCAGAAGGTCTTTGAAGAGATTGGAATTCTAAATTATAATGGGTATTTTTTTAAACATATGGATCCAGAGAATCCAGTGGTTGCTGTGAAGACTCTACTTTGAGAAACACTGAAAGAAATCATATATACCTTTTTAATCAGATATTATTCTTCTCTGCATTAAAGACATTTTGCTATCTAAGACAAGTTACATGGGAGGCCTACTCAAAGTTCAAGTTTCTTTCCAAACATCTTTGACATGCGAGTTGATGACTATAGTCATTTATGTTAGTTGGCTCTTCTCATTCATGTGACAGAAAATCTGCCAGAAATAGCTTTGGTTAGAAAGGACTTATTTTGGCTCACAGTATCCAGAGGTGTCAGTCACTCATGGCAGGGAAGGGGTGACAGAGGACAGCTTTTCACATTCTACCAGCCAGGAGGAAGAGAACTGGGAGCGTGGATACTCAACTGGCTTTCTCCTGTTTTCCTTCTCTTTTCCTCTAGCTCTTCACCCCCTGGCATGGTGCCAAGCACACTCAGGCTGAGTCTCCCCCAGCTAATCTTCTCTAGAAATGCCTGCACGCTGATACCCACAAGGTGTGCCCCAGCAATCTTTAGATTATTTCTAAGGTCATTCAGATTGACAGCGAGGACTGATAATCATGATAATCATTGAAGGAAAAATAAAGCAAACCAAGAGATAAACACTTCCTGTCCTCAAAGACAGTATAACCAGGCAATGCTAATCACAGAAGTAGAACCTTTGTGCACCTCTGTGAAATTTTTTTTCCTATAAAAATTGTTGGGCTAAAGAGATGACTCAATGATTAAGAGCACTTGCTGTCCTTGTGAAGAACCTGAGTTCAGTTCCTAGCACTCAACTGGCTCATAACACCTGGAATGGCACCTCTAGGGGTTCTGTCACCTCTTCTGGCCTCTAGCAACAGTAGGCAGACATGTGGTACACATCCACACATTCAGGCAAAACTCTCATATGCATAAAACAGAACTAAATAAATCTTTCAAAGATAAATGTTGACACTGAAATCCCTCTCATCCCCCACCTTCCCCCAGGTTATATCACGCAACAGGAGGCCTTGTCTTGTGCTGCTGTACTGAGACATTCAACCATTCGAGCCTCAGCCACCGTTGTTCCTCAAAGGACTATTCTCCCCAAAGTTTTCAACCATGCAAAGAAAGTGTCAATCAGCAAAACCAGAGTTTAGAGTTGGATCCCGGGCCCCACTACAGCATGCTGAGCATCAAGACCTTAGACAGGGCACAGTCTCTGAAGTGGGCAGCTCATCTGTGTATTCTTGGCATTTTAGTGGGTGCTTGGTATGTGTTTCTTGGATGACAATGAATAAAAGACTAATAATACAAACTCTAGAAGTACAAATAATTCCTTTTCCACATAAATGCTGCCAATAAGAACAGGTTGGAAGATTTGAAAGCTATTGAGCAGAGAATGAGCAAGCTTTAGCACAAATAATCTGTAAAAATAAATGGACTTTCAAAGCTTTCAATATAAAAGCTTCTTATGAGTTCCATTCTCCCAGAGAAATCTGCAGAACAGTCAAAGGGAACAAGGGACAGCACCTCTAGCTCTGGGTGATCACTGCCCATTGTCCATCTGAAATACATGAACCAACACAGTCAATACAGATTATAGAGGTTTCTGGAGTCACGCTGTTAGTAATAAGTGCCATGTGCCTCTTCCTATCCCTATCCCAACCAAGCAATAATATTTACAGTGGTCCTACAGTTTCTAGTTCTAGACTGACTCGATCATTTTGTGTCATTTTGAAATTTGTGCTTATCAGCCCATTACTGCCAGGAAGATCCTATACAGCTGTAATTGGCCTTGACATGGATAAGATAATTCATGCGCACACCTGCCCCTGGCAGTCACAAACACTCTCAGCAGAACAGAAAATAGCCCCAAAGAATTGATCTCATGTCTTATCTCTGAGGATTTTAAGAATGAATACAAGACCATGCAAATGAGCAAATAATGAGATAACTGCCAGGCAGGTCTCTCTGCAAATGGTACAGTCATATTAGTTATGTTTACTAGTTACTTTCTTCACTAACAAGTTTCTTATGTGTACCAAAATTAGTGATCCCATACTAAGTCAAGTTAAAAAACCGGTCACTTCCTTATCTTTGGTTTTTAAAAATGTCATTCATGTCAACCAGTGACTATCACCACATGAATAAATTGATTGGGAGTCACCACATGAATAAATTGATTGGGATAGAACTTAGTTGACAAGAGAGATGGAACATTCATCTGAAAGGAAGATGTCACAACATTACCAGACCCTTTTCTGGCCAAACCCAGAAAGAACCAAAATCCTTTAAACCCTCATTGGTGATGATTGTCTTCGCTCTATATCCATTAACATAAAAGTTATAAAATCTGTCAAAGGGTTCTGAAGACTCTCATTGTAGAGTTTACAATTCTATCTGATCTTTTTTGGGTGTGGCAAGAGATATGGTTGTCCCACCAGTCCATCAGGAAGTCTTGGGAAAGCAGTACTCACCTTTGACCAGATGGAGACTATTCTTCTATAGCTCATACTGTCCATCATCAACAGGGGAGACTAATCATGAAGAATCCTCTTGACAACAGCAAATCCTGCACTGACTCAAGTACTCTAAGTAGACCACACTGTTAAACTTAAGGGGTTGTCAGGTAAGCTTTTAAAAAAATCAAGTACAACGGAGGTGAATTATGAGGTAACTCTTGGAAGTGACATAGGATGGGGGCAGCCCTAACAGTCTACACTAACCCTCTCGTTTCCACACGTGCCTTTAATCTCTGTGAACTGCTGACATGTACTTTATCATGGACTGCTTTTGTAATTTGATTGGCCTAGGTCCCTGCTGAGTGAGCATTAGCTCCTGGTACAGAATAACAAGAATAACAAGCAGGTAGGGTCTGTGCTGCAACCTTGAATCCAAAAAAAAAAACGGTCTCAGACACATTTGTTTCGGCACAAGCTTTTACAGTCCTCTGGACCAGTGAATGTTACAGGCACATAAGAAGGACAAATGGATTTAATAGATGTAAATCCGTGTGGAGCCCTTCTTTCAGGTTCCCCCTTCTGAGAAGATAATGCTCTCCCATAGCTGGAGTCCCACACTTGAAGCTTGGGAGGATGTGGTAGGTTATCGAGCTAAAAAAAAAAAGATGCTCACTGAAAAGGACTCTGAGAAAGACTATCAAGGAGGTAGAAGGGACACATGAAGGTTTTAGGTAACTCTACTGCTTTGACATTTCAGAGGCCATGCTGCTGGCCATGCTGCTGCGGTTCTCTATGACCGATGACTGCTATCAACACAGGTAGATTAAGGGAACTTTTCACCTAAAATTGCTTTCACCTGACTGTGGTAGTCAGTCAATAATGCTTGTTGAACAATATACAAGTTTTTTCAGAGAGTCTGCAGTCAGACTGGCTTCTAGCTTTGTGTTGTATTTCAAAGGTCCCAGGAAGTTACCCTACTGCTGAGGCCTGAGGCCTGGCAGTGGTTAGCAGGGGCAAGGCATCAGTTCATCCTAGAAACAGTCAATAGATTATGATGTGGAACCTCACGGGAGTTACTAGAGGCATCACCTTCAGGGGAATTGATGAGTCTCCTAGGAGATCCCAGGTAGTTCTTCTGAAAATGTGGTCACAAAAATAAAATAGAATAAAATAAAATAGAACAGTCTTCAGGTAGTAATTCTAATACTTCCTTGTACCTTGTGGTGAGTGGCCATTTTGAAAATATTCAAGCGTTCTTAGACAATTGTGTATTCTTTAATGGGTGACTGTGCAAATAAAACTTTATGCCCATCAAACCAAATTATTTACTTACTAATTGTTTCTAAATAAGTGCCAATCCCTGAATTGCTCAGTGGCTGCTTGTGTGTATTTCTCTCCATGATGTCAGCTACTATAAGGTGATGTAGCTAGGGGACCCTCCCTAGAGCCAGAATGCACACCTTGCTGTTTAGAATTAGTCTCCAAAACTGTGACCTTTAAAAATAATATATTTTTATGATGTTCCCAGCCTCTGGTATTTTATTACAGCAACAGAAAACAGGCTAATACAGCCCGTTACTTGATTAGCTCACAATATACACAGTACCAACTGATGTGTCTACAACAACTGTATGGCATATCCCTTTAGAAAAAGATTATTTATTTTCGCTTACTGTGTCTGAGTGTTTTGCCTGCTTGTATAATGTATAATGCATGTATGCTTGGTGCCCAAGGAGGCCAGACCAAGGCTCCAGAGCCCTCTGAAACTTCAGTTACAGGTAGTTGAGAGCTGCCAGTGGGCACTGGGAACTGAATCCCAACCCTCTGGAAAAGCAATATAGGCTCTTAACTTCTGAGCCATCTCTCTAGCCCCGATCCTGTATGTTCTTGCATTTACGTACCAGACTTGAGCAACTACTACAATGACCAAAGTCAGAACTTTGAATCGCTTCAGTTTTATAAAAAATTATGTGCTACAAATGCATTCAGCTTGGGCTCAGTGAATCTTCACACACACAGCATCACACTGACAGAAGGCATTTACTGTCCCCAATCTCCCTCCATCTCTCTGTAGTCAGTTTCTTCTTGTAAAGTATGACCAGTGGACATCACAGCCTTTACCACTGTAGCCTGATGTTTTCTAGAATCTTACATAAGTGAATTTTTGTCTGGCTTCTCTTGCCTAGTGTCACTCTTCTGTTAGGATTCAACATGTCACATACATCTGTACATTATTCTTTTTCATTGCAGAGGAATAATCACATTGAGTTTGTCACATAGATGTGCCACAATCTAAGCAGTCACCCACCTGTTAATGATATTTGGATTGTTTCTAGTTTTGAACTCTGAACATAATCACTATGGATTTTGAATGTAAGTTTTACTTGAACATTAAATGTTTGTCTTGAAAACATATCTAGGAGTACAGTTGACTCATAGGTTATATCTGAATTGCATTGAAATATATTTGAGACTGCCATGGTGTTTTCCAGAGTACCTGTGCAATGTTGAGTCCTAGAAATGCTATAGGGTTTTTGCATTCTAATGACAGCCACTGTCCAGCAGCTTGGGTTTGTAGGAGAGACACTGTCCCCATTACTGATGACTATTCTGTCCATGACAAGTTTTAGGGAAGACAATCATGAGCAGCCTGGAGATAAAGATGCTGATATTCTTGGAGATTTAAGGGAACAGATAGCAAGGCTTAGCAGTTCACCCTGAAAAGTAACCCATCAATATTAGCAGAGGAATGGGGGACAGAAGCAGTTCCTGCAGGAAGGACAGTCCCTGAATAAAGCCATGGGTGCAGCTTCAGTGTGAGCTCATGGGTTCTTCACCGTTCCTTGTTCACATTGTTTTTCAGGTTCACCATCCACTAAATCGGTTACATAGTAAGTTATTCCAAAAGCTGGTGACTTAAAACTGCCTTATTGACTGTCTCTGTCTCACACTTTGATTGGGAGCAAGCACAGATTTGGGCATGGCTTAACAGGGGCTTCTGGCTTAGGGTCTCCCACAAGCCTACAACCAAGGGGTGAGATGAAGCCATGATTTTTAAACATTAATTCAGGGAAGGACCCACTACCAAGCTCACTCGTGTGGTTGTGACAGAACTGTGTGCCTTGGAATCTAGTACACTCAGAGCCTGGGTTCTTAGGAGCTAGAGACGTCCCTCTCTTTCCAGTCACGGACATCTCAATAAGGCAGCTCAGAATTGTGAATTATAACTTACTTCCTCAGGACTAGAATGTGTGTGTGTGTGTGTGTGTGTGTGTGTGCGTGTGTGTGTGTAAGAGAGAGAGAGAGAGAGAGAGAGAGAGAGAGAGAGAGAGAGAGGTGGAAGTCAGAGTCATTTATAACCTAGTTCACAACATTTCCTGTTTTTTTCTTATTGTTGTTGGGGTTTTTTGGTTTTTGCATTAGAAATAAGTCATCAGGTCTGAATTCTACAAGGGTAGGGTATTATCCAAAGGCATGGCAGCTAGAAGGTGAAGCTCACAGGGAGGCATTTTGTGGGGGATGGGGAATGGTTGTCATGCATAAGGGTGTAAAAGGAAAGGAAACACTTGTTCCTACACAGCCCAGAGAGGGACTCCAACTTGTCTTTCCATCCATATCCCATCACCCCACTGCTGGTCACATATACACAGAGCGCTTAAGCTAACCTCTGATCACTCAGTGTAGTCAGAGAGTTAGCTCTTTTTGGGCAACCATTCTACACTTCAGGCTTGGTTCCTGCATTCATTCCTCTTGGGGTTCGTTTTTAAACTTTCAACACACTGTGGGTGTGACAGCATCACCAAGTAAACTGAAGACACTTGATAAGCAAGTCCTTATTCCTGTGTAATATATATAGTTGGAATACTATTTTTCAGAATATCATCCATGTACTAGACTCGGTGACAATGCTGTAAAATACAATGCCCCTCCTTGACTCAATGAATCAAGCATATAAGAGATAGCATCTCTGGTATTTGTTTCCTAAGCAGGGTAAAGTAAAACAGCTGTTTGCATTTAAGGTGCCATTTAAATAGTCATATGTCTTGGCCCAGAAGAGATACATTTCTCCCTGATAAATTTGATTTTTAAAATTGAGGAGTAAGAGCTGCAGGTAGAGGAGACTTCGAGGGACAAGCAATAGAAATACCTTCCTGATAACCTTCAATATCCTGTATAAATAAATTGTTTATTATTGTGACTCAAAAGCCAGAGTGTGTTGCAGTACAGGACAGGATCTACTAAAACACTTTCTTTTCCTCAGAGCTGGCATTACTAACTATGCATTACAGTTCCACCAAAGTGAACCCCTGTTTCATTTTCAGTATTTGTCTCGATTTGTGATGAAGGCCCAAGGAAAATGTGCAGGAGTTCTTCACCTTTCCAATTAAAATGAATCCTTAATTGCATCAGTGCTTATAGAAGAAACCCTTTTATCTGCCTCATTGACTCAGCTTTCCTCCCTCAACCAGTCCATTGCCTGAAGTGTAATCAATTCCTTCTTTGGAAATCAATCTCTATCTACCTCTGGAGGATTCAAGTGTGTTCTTCTCCACATTAGAACTATCAGCGTGTGCTAATTAAACAATGGACTCAGTCTGGCCAGAAGAGGAAACATTTGTGGGTACTGCAAACCACAGTTCAGATAGGTCAGGGTAGTTACCAAACTAACTTTATAGGGCTGAACACTGGAATACACATGGCCTCTTGAACAACTTCCTGGTTCATGAAGAACCTAAGACTGCCTAAAAATAAAAGTTCTAAAGAGGGAAATGGCTTCCTTTAATTTTTAACATTACACACGTGTGTGTGTGTGTGTGTGTGTGACTGTGGCACACAAAGGACACCTTGTAGGAGCTGGTTCTCTTCCATATGAGTACAGGGGTTTAAACTCTGGTTCTCAGAGTTATTAGAAATGCTTTTACCCAGTGAACCATCACAATGGCTCAAACTTCTTTAAAAACAGCCCACGAAGACAGTAAGAACGATCTAACTGCTATCATTAAGTGTTAAGGATGGTTAGCAGGTGGATGGATAAAAACAATGTGAGACATACACACAGTGAAATATTATTCAAGTCATAAAGAAAAATGGATCTAAATGGAAAATATTAAGTGAGGGAACACATGTTTTCTCATCTGCAAAACGTACCTTCTAAATTTTTCTCCTGTGTATTTATGTGGGAGGGAGTATATAGAGGCTAGGAAGCCAGAGAGTGAGCCATAAATATGGGAGAGGGGAGGTCTCAGGAGAACAGTTTGGGAGGGCAATAGAAAGGAGAGGGTGTAAGGTATTTACTGAAGGTAGAAGGACATAAGCAGGGATGGGAAAAGGAAGACAGGAGCCGGGCTACTAAAACTTAGTATGTAACAAAACGGCATAAGGAAAGCTGCTACTTTGTATACCAATTGGAACATAAAATAAAAGTTAAAAATGTTTCAAAAGTCTA